ATATATATTAAAAAAAATAATCAAATTATCTAGGTTTTGAATCCTAAAATCTTGGTTATGGAAAATATTATGTTAAGGAAAAAAAATTATTATCTTGTGTAAAGTTACGATACTCGATAGAAATTAGTCATTATTTATAATGATAGGAAGTTCTTGCTAATATCATGGTTAATATATATATATATAAAAGATTAATATACTTTACTATATTATACACTGAATTTACTTTACTATATTATACATTGAATTTTAACAATTTTTTCATTAAATTAAAAATTCTTATTATATAAATCAAGTGTATAAATATTTACAAATTTTAAAAATTATTCAATATTTTGTTACATAAGTTCAAATTAATTTATATATGTGTATGTGACCCAATTTCAACTTTTGACACAAGTATTATTTAAATTTGGGATAGTTTTTAATCAATACAAATCTAAATCAAATTGAAGAATAAATTTGGATATCAATTCAAAATATTATACACATTCATAATGTAATTTCAATTAGCTTAGTTGAATGTTGGGTTTAAAATCCAGTAATCGATTCATCTAATTAAATAAGTATTTTATTATTTTATTACTTTTATTATTAGGGTATTATGTTGGTTAGACACTTGATAATTTTTTATTTTGTGTATGACATATTTAAGTTTTTATTTAATGATGTTGGTTGATTTTATTTAAATTTGTAATATTGAATGTTTTAATTAGGGTATTTTTGAACTATTAGGATTCGCCTCGACCTAGTGGTAAGAGAGTAAGACGGTTGGGATAGTATATATAAGACCCCAAATTTAAATTATAGTGTTGTCATTATAATTTCAATAGATAAAAAAGAAATAAGGTATTTTATAATGTTGACAAATAAATTTGTAATATTGAATATTTTAAATTTGCTAGTAAATATATCTACTTTCATCATTGAAATTGAAAGATATCATCATATTAATCCCTAACTAATGAATTTTTTTAAAGTGAAAATTTATTATCACATTAGTTCAAAATTTTAAAAAAAAGTGACTAAAATGATAATTTAATATAATTGAAAAATAAAAATAATAGATTGTTAAAATTATTGACTTATTTGACATTTTAAAAATTTATTTGACATTTTATTTTCTTAGTTTCCGATACTATTATGTTATTATATTTTAAATTTAAGGATAAAAGTGAATATGTATTATGAATTTGCACTTTGTAAAGT